GCTAATATTATTTAGAAAATAACTATAAAATTAATTTTGTAATTAAATAAATTTTTAAATGCTAATCTAAACAGGAAAGTTAGAACATACCTGAAGAAAAAGAAAATAATCCCCCCTTGCGAGAAAAACGTCGAGCAAGGTGAGAGGAAGAGAGAAAAATAATATAAAAATGGGATTGTGGTCCCAAAATTATATTAAAAAAAACTATAGGTTTGAATTTAATTATTCAAACCTTTGGGCCAAAAGTTGCAATTTCCTCTAAATTGCATCTTAGCCTCTCATGCTTCCTAATGCACACACCCCCTCCTTTTTCTACATGAAGGCACCTCTTCTCTTCTCTCATCTAACCAATGTGGGACTTAGAAACAACAACCTTCCAACCTCCTTTTTTTATTCCTTCTACCTTCTCTTTTTTTTTAACACACACATAAAAAAAATTATTTATGTATTATATCTTAACTAAATATTGCTTATGTGGTTTTAAATTTAAATTTTTAAATTCATAATTAAATACCTAACCATAATATTATTTCTAAATAACCTCAAATAATATAAATTCCTATTATTATCATTTTTTTTTCAAAACCTAAATTTCATAATTTTTTTATTATATAAAAATCAGGATGTTACAATGATCACTCGGTCAAAGATGACTTTTAACTAGGTTAAAGTTTAGTGGTCATCATGTAGGAATCTATGATGATCTTAGGTCAAAAGGCTTAGTGATATGGTTATATATGAGATAAACTTATGATTTGTATCATGCAGCTTTCTTATAACGGGTCAGTCCAGCACCTTATATTCTTTCAAGTGCCTATGATTTTGATTTATATCTCTATAATTAATTAAAGTCATATTAGCCTTGTTTAATCTATGATCCCTCATATATGACCAACTAAAAATATTTAGAACAATCACTATAATTTATCTAAGGATACAGTTATCATAGTGAACATGCAATTAATATAATAATAAAAGAGAAATTCATTAAATAAAAATGTGCATAGTATAATGATTGGCTTTAGGGCACAATTTCCAACAGTATGATCCATTTTACATGTTTTATTCTCCATTTTAATATATTCATGGTGTCAAAAGCAAGAAAATATCCTAAGGGGCACAATTGTACACTAGGGGTATTTTGGTCTAAAATTTCATTTTTTTAATGAAAAATTGAGTTAATGTTGTGTTCCATGTGTTTTATACCTAGAAGAATGAATAAGAAATTAATTTTTTAAAATTTAATTTAGTTTGGGAGTTATAAAATAAAAATCACACTTTGAGGTCGTTAACTTTGTTGATTGAATTAAGGTTTTATGTGCATGCATGAGCTTGCACGCGTTGTTATCCTTAGATTTTACTTTATTAATATTCTTTCATGATATTTAATTAATTCCATATGTAATAATTTAATTATCAGGTCACATGAATATTTGGCTTTGATTTTATATTTATTTTGTGACTTAGGTGGCGTATATGGACTTGGACTTTTGCAATTGATCAACAATCATGAAAGAGGGCTAAATTGGCATCATTTTTAGGGTTGAAAAGGGATAGAATAATTTGTTGATTGATGTAATAAGTAAAAATATTCTTACTTAGGATATTCCCTTTAAGTCAATGAGAGAAAACCGCCTATTTGAATATATAGGAAACGTTTTCCTCACCCTAGCTTTTTATTTTCCTTTTTGTTTTATTTTTTCCCCATTTAAGGAGCTGCTATTCATGCACACATTAGCCCTTTTTCACCAAAAGAATTAACCTTAGCTTCCACACACAATCTTTCACCACCTCCTTCATTTTTATTTTACACTCTTTCTCTTGTTCTTTATTGATCTTCATTTTTTCTCATTTTTTCAGCCATGACAACCCCCTTCTCTCCTCTATTTCTCTTCATCTAATCATTAGATCATCACTAAATCACTCCCATTCTTCTCCTCTCACTCCCCTCTACACTATCCCTATCACTTGAGCATCTATTTCATGCTTTATTCTCTACTTGGTTCCATGGAAGGGTTCAGCCAACTCATGCTTCCCATAGAGAACTTGAAGAGCCTTGAAGGATGAACCACTTTGGGTGCTTGGAGAAGGATAAAAGCTCAGTGAACCATTTGGGTCTTTAATTTTGTAACCCTTTTATTTTTTTTCTTAATTCTTCTCCATTAATAGACTTGTAAAATCATAATTTTGAATTTCTATTTCTTGGCTTTACAACTATAATCTTCGTTGATATTTTTGTATGGAGATTGATTTGATTAATGTTGAATTTTTATTGGTATGTTCAGCTATAATTTCAACCACTTTAGAATATTTCATAATCTTGAATGTTCTTGAGTATTTTAACCTTGTTTATGCTTCATCATAATCTTGAGAAAAATTTGCTGGGCTTAATTGTGACCCATCATAATTTTGAAGTGTTAAAGGCTGAGCATGCTTGTTGAAATTTATCATTAATTATCTAACTTAGGCCTAAACTAAATTAGGGAGTTGGATTGGGCTTTAGAATTCTAGGCTTAATTAAGGTCCCTAGTGAAGTTAAGTTGCTAGAGAGAATTATTCTAATGGCTTCATAATTTGGTTGGGAACTAGGATGAGAAGAATTAAGGGTGACTAATTCACATGTCATAAGTGGTTAGGATTTGAGCACTAGTCTAACTCCAAGTATCCTATTCCATCCCATTTTTACAAACTTGCTAGCTTAGGTCTTTAGGCTTTAATTAGGTTAATTAGCATTTTAGTTTTAATCCATTAAAATCAATAAACTCTTGGAATTTTTATTTTAATTTAATTGCATTAAGAAGTTCTAGATTTAATCTTTAAATACCTCTATGGGAGATGACTTAGGTTGCCATTATACTATATAGTTGGTTAATTTAGTTTAAATTGCTAAGTGTGTGACCGCTTGGTTTAGATGCAAATACTTTTCAATATTTAATTAGTTTGGTAATAAGTGAAGGACTCGATTTGTATCTAATGAATGTTGTCACGGCCTATTTGCATGGTTCACTCGATAATGACATTTACATGAAACTCCCTGAATAATTCAAATTGCTAGAAGTATACAAGTTAAGTTCTAAAGAAAATCATTCAATCAAATTAAATAAATCCTTATATGGATCGAAACAATCAAGATGCATGTAGTATGATCGACTTAGTAAATATCTGTTGAAAAAAGGATATAAAAATAATTCAATTTGTCCTTGTAATTTTATGAGAAGATCTGGAAAAGAGTTTGCTATAATTGTTGTTTATGTTGATGGAATAAATTTATTGGAACACTTGAAAAGCTTTTGAAAGCTATAAATTGCCTAAAGAAATAATTTGAAATGAAATAAGTGGGAAAAACAAAATTTTGCCTTAGATTACAAATTGAATATGTGAATAATGAGATTTTTCTATACCAAGAAACATATACAAGAAAGGTTTTAAAATAGTTTTATATAAATAAATCACATCCATTATGTATCCTAATAGTTGTTAGATTATTAAAGGTAGATAAAGATCCTTTTAGATCTCGAAAAGGTGATGAAAAATTACTTGATCCAGAAGTACCATAACTGTACATAAAGCAAGTTGAGAATGCATATAGTTAAAATCACTAATCCATCATATATGAACTACTTGTAGTTTGTCTTCTAACAAAATGATCTCGACGATCACATAAGAAGATAATATTTCCTGTATTGCCCAATTGAAAGAATGGTACATTAAAAGAGATGGAACGAAACATATTTTATCAAAAAAAATTTCACTCATGATTTTCAAAAGAATGGTAAAATTAACATCTAGCAAATTCACTTCAAATAAAATCTAGCTGATATGTTCATCAAGTTACTTCTTGCTATAATATTTAAAAAGCTTGTTCATGATGTTAGACTTCATAAACTCAAAGATATTAATTGATGCTATGGGGAGAGTTAATACGCGTTGTACTTTTTTTTCCTTGTCTAAATTTTTTTCATTGGGTTTTCCTAGCAAAATTTTTAATGAGATAGTATTGAATAGCGTATAGATAAATAATGCACTCTTTTCTTTTGCTAGGTATTTTCCCCATAGGAATTTTTTTAGTTGAAGTTTTTAATAAGATACATTCTTATATAAAGAACATTTAAGGGGGAGTGTTATGAATATTAAAAGGAGAGTGGATGTTCATTTTTCTCACATCTTCATCTTCATCTTTTCCCATGGTTTACTATTATAAGAGTTAATGACCTTTTATTTACCTTTATCATTTATGTAACATTTGATGCATAAGATTATGCCTGTAAATGAGACATGTCATTTATATTGAATGATACAATAATTCATAAAAAAATTTCTCATTCTCTTGTCTCTAACTTCCTTTCTCAATATTTTTATTTTCTAGTTGCTTAATTTTTAACATTATTATAATTAATTTTGAGTGCATAGAAATGATCAAGGAATAGAGATAAAAAAACACTAACAGACCTTGCCCTTAAGAGCTTGCCCCTTATGGACCTAGCCCTTAAGGGCTCAAGCCCTTGAGCTTAGTTTATCAAAAAATGATTAATTTTTGAAGCTCAACCTTTATTTGAAGGATTCAGGGTCAGACCCAAGAGCTTTTTTGATGTTTTTAAAAAAATTTAAAATACAAAATTTAATAAAATAATAAATATTAACCAAAATTATAAAATAGACCTTGCAAAGTAATTGTGTTTTTTTTACACCAACTTATAAAGAAATTGTGTTTAAAAAATTAATAAAAAATATGACAATATTGTGTTAAAATAAATGACAAAAGAATCAACATTAATTATTTTGATAACATAATATTTGAAAAATCAGTAATCCTTTAAGAAACAGGATTTAGAGAATCACCCAAATCTGAATTTTTTTTAAGACTTATTTAAACTGAGTCTAAAAGTTTAATTTAAAAAAAAAAATCACTAATTTTTTAAGTCCAAATCCACATTAAGTTCTCTAGCTTTGGCCCTTCAAGTCCCCACCCTTCATGCTCAACTTTTATCCCCGGCGCTACCAGAGGAGCACGTGAAAAGATACTGGTGAAATTTGATGTGGTGAAATATCCGCAAGGCAACCAGACAAGCGAGCGTCTGTGTCAAGGATCGGCTATTCCATCCATATTGAGAGCTTAAACCACCTGCTATACCTCCCCACTGGTTTCTCCGCCCCCCACCGCCTCAAAGCTTTCTGGAATTGCGCGCCAAATTCAGTGAACATGACGTCCAGTTTTCTTCTGGACACCCTCCCCTTCATGGGCTCCGCCTCCATCCCCCGACCTTCCCTCTTCCTTCGATCTTTACCCTCTTCCAACACTCCCTCCTCCTTCTCCTCTCACTTTCGGAGCTTTGATCGTTCTCTTCGACTTCCCGGCCTCCGTCCGCTGCCGCCGGCTGCCGGCCACTCCCTCCTGGTTAATTCCGTCCCGGTATGTCTTCCTGCTCTGCTCGTATCTTCCAAATTCAAATAGGTCTATTTCTTTAGTTTCTATATCTTTGAATCCGACAAAAGGTTTTCCCCTTTCGCTTTGACTCCGCCTGTTTTCTTTTTTCTATATCTAGTTGATGATTGATTAGTTAAGTATGCTTTATGGCCGTATAAACTGAATCGATTTAGATTTTAGACTTAAGAGCATGAAGCAGTGTGCTGGGTTTCCAAGTATATGCATGTGAATTTTAGCACCAGCTCTGTTGATTTGTGCTAGTCACGATGCAATGAAGGAGGAGCTTAAATATGAGACTCTATAGCGCGAATGCTAGGGTGATCATTTTCTTCAAACCGATGCTATAATTAACTATGATACAGTCCTTTCAATTGAAGAAACCTGTCTTGCCTTTGTAGAGAGTTCTAGATGTAAAGAGAGATAGGGAGAGAGTACAAATGGTTGAAGGTTTGATGTTTGAACGCTGCTGAGGAAAATTATTGGCTGATATATTACCCTCACTCTACGAGGCTGTCTTTGATAGTTATATCAGCTCTATTTATCTTTTAGCTGGATGCTTCAATATGAGGAGTGACAGAGAACCAGGTTAATTTTAAATAACACATTTTCCGTAACAGTTTCATATGGAAAGTAGAGGCCCTTCCTTTTGGGAGGGAGCCTGTAGCAAATCAAGCCTTTTACATTAACATAATATTTTCAGTGGATTGCCTCAGTTATATTCTCAATTTGTAATTACTAATTTGTAATGTATATATGTGTGTGTGTGTGTGTGTGTGTGTGTGTGTGTGTGTGTGTGTTCAGTGCATCACCTTAATTTTAATGCAGTAAGCTTTTCTGGCAACATATGCAGCCAAGAAGTGGCGTTTACACTGTTGGTGAATTTATGACAAGGAAAGAGGATTTGCATACGGTAAAGCCTACAACATCTGTGGATGAAGGTATATTCTCTACTTGAGTTTATGTAATATGTCTAGTTACATGCTACCACTTTTTTGGGGCTTATATTTAAACGCTAACTTTTCCCTGGCCTCGATTCGTGACAGCTCTTGAAACTCTTGTAGAACACAGGATAACTGGTTTTCCTGTAGTCGATGATGACTGGAAATTAGTGAGTTGCCCACGACCATTTTGTTGGATCATTCTATATTTACTTTGAGATCTGTGTCTACTATGTGGCAGCTTCCTATCTTCCCTTTTTGTCTACAATTTACAGAACACCCTTATCTTCCCAAGTTTGTAAATATTGAATAAAAGAATAAGATTATATACACATCAATAATTAGAGCAAAATATATAATTTTGTAAACTAATTAAATTTCTTTTCTCTATCCTAACACTTTATTCTCATTATTTAATTCTGTTTCTCTTAGGCATGCGATTATTTCTTTACCATAACTACTCTGATTATAGTTGGGCAAAAATAAGAACAAATGCCCACTTGTTATCAGCCTTTGGATATTTTGCACAGTGGATTTTCAAGGCCACTGTTATTCTTATTTTAGCTTCTTGTTATTAGTGCTGGTCTGGCTAAAGATTGGTTGAGAGGCTATTTCATTTCTCTAATAATAAAATGAGAGGACTCCGTGTGAATTACCCTCGGCTCTTTACCGTACTGTCATTGTGTGTATCTGTTATGAGTTGTACTGAACAAATGAAATAGTCACAGTTCAGTCCTTCGGGGGCATAACTTAGAGGCTATAATTTTTCTAACAGAATTGAACCTTATGAATTAATATGCTTTAGATAACTAATAGCTAATAATTAATGTGGTTTTAGCCGACCCCACCTAGTGGGATAAAGGCTTGTTGTTGTTGTTGTTGTTGTTGTTGTAATAATTAATGTGGTTTAAATTTCTGTCTTTAAGTTTGCATGCCCAAAGTCTTGTGGTTGGTTCATCAAAGTATTGCGGAATGGATCATATGATGGAACAATTTCTAAAGACTCTTTAATATCCTGCAGGTTGGTGTTGTTTCCGATTATGACTTGTTGGCATTGGACTCCATATCAGGTAAATTTGATTTTAGGCACACATTATCTGCTTCTTTTTGTTTGTTGAAACTGAGGAAAGTATACTTTTCTTGGTATTATAGCTCAAGTAAAGACATTTTCCCATTATAGCTCAAGCAATGTGCAATGTTCATTTTCAGGTAATCCACAGACTGACAATAATGATATGTTTCCAGAAGTTGACAGCACTTGGACAGTAAGTAGAAGCATCTCTTGCAGTTCATTTTTCTTAAGTTCCTTTTTTTAAGGTCCTAACTTTGATATAACCCCTGGTTGGGGAAAGTAGAGTCTATAGTGGGAGTACTAGAGATAACTGACGCCCTTGAATACCTCATGAAACTGTGCACCAAGCTCAAACCAAGCCATCAACTAATCCAAACTCGAAAGACTGCTCTATCGCTGCAGAACAGAGCAGCCCAACCCTCTTAGGAAAAACAGGAAAAAGCCCTCCCACTGAGAGAGAAAGCCAGCCTTCCGAGAAATCCCAAAGCAATATCCGTAGATCCTAGAATAAGACAACTAAAATAATAAAAGACCACCACAAGAGCAAGCAATAAACAGATTGAAGTTTTGACTAGGGAAAAACTTTTCTTTAAAAGGTGAAAGTTTTAAATTAACGGAAACAATGTTGCAAAGCAATTCATAATCCACTTTTGTATATGCCCTTTTCACGCGAGCACCTCTGTTACTGAGTGTCTGGCCAGTTCACCATATCATGCCAAGTTGGCTACTAGACCTCATAAGCCTTGAAAGGATGTCTGTTACTGGTTCATGGCCTGAACTGAAAAACCATTTCGCCCAGTCACGGTATATTGCTATAATTGGGCTTTCTATAATTGCTTCCTCAACAATCTCAGATAGGAAATATTGCACTGTTCAACACCTGACGTTGAAAATTAAAATGAAATGATAGACGGTTTCTGATGAAGTATGCAAATCATATGCCTGAACTTGGCCATAGTATTTTGTTTCAATGATGCATATAATTTTTGTGTCTTTTTCTTTTGACTTGGCCATCGCCTGGTCTTTTATAAATATCTTCCTTTCTATTTATTCCCCATAAGGTTTATGCTAGGAGGATGGGTGGGGGGGTGTTCTCAACTGAGATTTCAATTTTCATCTCGTTGGTAGTGGCTGCTGAAACATATTCCTTGCCAAATTGGAGAGATCATGTTGATCCTACTCAACTGTTCTCGTTGATAGGGATTGGGTGATATCCTGTATGATGTTGGAATATCAAGTGTTTAGACATACAGGAAAAGTTTAAACGGCTACTTTTTCAGGATCCTCATTGGAGCAATGAGGCTCGTTTTTATGTTTTCCCCTGTCATAGCATCAGAGTGACAGAGTCTCATTAATAAAATTATTTTTGAAGATATTCACCACCGATAAAATTTTGGAAGGAGAGCAAAAAAATAGTTCAGATGGTCCTCTTCAAAGTCTTGTGTTGTAATCCAATAATCCATTGCGTTTAAAGACCATTATTTGAGGTACCTTACATGAAATATATCCGACTCAGTCCTATGAAAGATGGGGAGAGAGGGAAAGAAAAATATTCGCAGTACGCATTCTTTTGCGTATAAAATCTCAACTTTCTAACTAACTATTTGGTTTAGGATTTGTCTAATAAAAGCTGGCTTTTGTGAAGATTTTAATGGATTGCAAACTTCTTTTCATAAACATTTTTACAGGACATCTAATTTTTAATTTCCTGATGGCTTGCAGACTTTCAACGAAGTTCAGAAACTGCTGAGTAAGACCAAGGGGAAAATGGTCGGTGAATTAATGACCCCTGCTCCTATGGTGGTTCGGGAAACCACTGATCTTGAGGATGCTGCTAGGTGCTTATAATATCTCTTTCATTCTCCCTTTTTAGTTTAACTTTCCTATCTCACCTCATAGAAAAGGATGGAACCCTTTTTTTTTTTTTTTTGCAAAAATGGTTATTATTAGGTTATTGCTTGAGACAAAATTTCGACGTCTCCCCGTTGTTGATGCTGATGGAAAGTTGGTAAGAGATTCGTCCATCCATTGTCCAAGTTTTCTGTATGTATGCTTCTTTGGGTTTCTAAAGGCGCTGTTGTTAATGATCTGAAAGGTTGGGCTTATTACCAGAGGAAATGTAGTCAGAGCTGCGCTTCAAATTAAACGAGACAACGAAAAGAAAGCATTTTAGAATTTGGAATCCAGTTTGGAGGAGGAAGTAAATTCCCTTTGTGGCCACAGCAGATAGTTATGATTAGAATCAAAGTTTTGGTTAATGCATGTGTATTTTATATATCATAGTATCATTGTTTTGCAGTTAAACGTCTGAAATGGCTGTCATTATCAAGACGTTTGCTGCTTGAAGTGAAATGTCTGTTACCCTTCCTGCTTGGAGCCGGGCATTAACTATTTAGAATCGCAGATAGAACGATTGCTGAAAATGGTGGATGCATTTTCAACAATGTTATTTTCTACAGCTCTTGGGGGCACGCCATTTTGCCATCCTTTATTTCTTACATCTGTCTCTCTCTCTCTCTCTCTCTCTCTCTCTTTTTTTTTTGTTGTTTCTAAGGCCATATGGGCCTGAAAATGCAAGATATTAAAAATCGGATCAGTTATTAAATTAAATAAGATATTGGTTTAAGAGTTAATGGTTAAAATTATAGTTTATTAACTCTGATGGAATTGATAATAAATAAAGCATTCTATTGCACAAGTTAAGGTATTGATTTAACAGTTCAATTAGGTGAATTAACATAGATTTTCATATTATGTCAAAGTGATTAACCATGTTTTGAAAATATCTAGCTAAAGAGCCAGCATAGCTAACATGTTTCCATGCATGAATTTAAAACTAACAAACCAAATTTTACCTAATATTGACCTAACATCATGGAGAACATATCCGAAGCGGTGATCTTCAATACTCTCTCTAGATCAAATGGATGGCGTGCGCATTAATAGTAATCACTGCAATATTTCTCTTGGGCCTTTTTCCTTAGCAAAATTCAAGACAACGAATAATTCCTTCAACTTCAGTGATAGTTGCCGGCAAGCACTCGAACTTCTGGCGATCAACCTTGAGGATGAATTCGTGGGTCAACGTAGAGCTTCCTCTTGGTTGAGTATTACGGTTACCTGTACTACCATTCTGTTTGCAATGTCTTGGTGCGCTATGAAATAACTCAACTCGACATTAACGTAATGTCTAGTTGGTAGAAAATATTTTCTATTAAAAAAAAAGAAATTCATATATCCCTTTTTTTAGGACATTTCTCATTTTCTTTGTATAACAACATTTCTGTGTACCAAGTATACAGTAAAGGATGCACCAGCCTCTTCATCCCCGGACAAGTGCTTACATCTATTTATCCTTATATCCCATAACACACAAGAAAATAAAATCTGCCAAGGAACTATCTTAGTGTTGTTCATACCAGCTTCATGTCTAAAGTTCCATTTGATCCATTCCAATCCTTTTAAGCTAGTAAATCTGTCCCAACATTCAGGTTTGACAATCTGTCTCCATTTGTCTGCAGCATGTAGTCTCGCAGAAGGAGCATCATGTCTTCCTCTCTTTTGATCCGAGGTAGCGCAAGCTAGATTCGTGGCCTTAGATCAGCTGTATGAACTGTTCGGGATCATTAACCACTAAAAAAGACTTGGTTTTCTCGGCAATCTGAGCTCTGCGCAGGCTCTCTTTGTTGATGAGAAGAGATGAGGATATTAGAATAATGCATATATCATTTTGCAACAGTGAGCACAAAATTACAGACCCTCTCCGCCATTAATGTAGTGATTAGTCTTGTCATGTACCCCATATCTTTGTTTCAAACATCAAGCCCCTCTTTAGCCGATTCAGTCACTGGTGATTAAGTAAAAAAGCTAACTTTAGCTCTCGGCTAGCTTATCATAAGTTGGTTAATCGCAAACTTGCGCCTCTAAACGTTTGCCATTCCCTGCCTCCTACAAATTCAATTTTTCATCCAAAAAAAGGAACACGTAATTTTTGATCCTTGTATAAAATAAATAAAAGTAAAAGTAATGACTAAAAAAAATTTAAAGATTAATAATAAAATGTAAGTAAAGTGTAAGAATTTAAAATTATATTTTTTTATTAAAAAAAACAATTTCTCCGCCAATTATGGAGTGATCTCCATGCAGGCCTTAAAAACCTCGTAGAAGCAAGTGAACGCTCAAAATATGGGTTACAGCTCAGTGTCAAAGGGGTTCATTCAGGAGCCGTAATTTTTGCGTTGAACATGGAGAATCTTTTCCTTTCACTGACCTGATTTTTATTTGCTAGACACATGTGTTACTCGAGAGGTGATTTGGAGGAAAGGAAAACAATAATAAGCGGCACGGCCCCATCACGCGTCGTTATCACCGATCACAAAATTTCCCCACGGGTCCCTCCGGCTATTCCCTACTCATTCATAATCAGCACACTACAGAACCAGAAAAATACCTAACTCTCAATCTTATCGCTTTTTCCAGTACTTATATCTCTTTAGTGGTTACCCTGGCCCTCTCTCTCCCCTCGGAGTCAACATCCTCGGCCCCTGTTTCATTCTTTATTTCATCTCATCAATTCCCACTTTCCCTCCCTTGTTCCCTAGTTCCCATAGGGCCACCTTACCATTATTATTATTATTATTATTATATTCTTTTGTAAAAATAAGGACAATAGCTGAGGAAATAAATATGTCTGCACGAACAAGAGTTAAAAAGAGGCTGCTTTAAGTCAACTAAATAATTTACATTTAACATCTTTTTACAACGCCAAAATTTCTTCTGTAAAATCTAAACAGGAAATACTACCGGCGAGAGAGTACAGTGTTCCTCAGGAAGGCTTCATCAACATCACTTTGCTTCAGCCGCCGCTCAACCTCCGTGGCGCATGTTAGTCACCGGTACCAACCGCCCCTCCCTCAGTTACACTCCGGATTCTCGGGTTCGGGCATCTTGTTCAGGTCAACCCGCTCCACGCACGCACCGGCGACTGGAGGCATGCGCTCGGATGCCTCCGCTGACGCGTGGTGGCGGCGGGCCGCCTGAAGGGCGTCCACTCGAGCACCGACTTCAATAGCTTTCTTGCGAATCGAAGCCGCCGACAAGTCCCCGGCGGTGGCGGCCACGCAGGCTTCTCCGGCGAGAAGGTCCGGGAAATTAAGGCGAGCGGAGGGTCCTCTGAGATAGAAAACAGCGGTGTCGTAGGCCCTGGCGGCGGCGACGGGGGTGGAATAGGATCCGAGCCAAATCCTGGAACGTTTGTTGGGTTCTCTGATTTCAGCGACCCACTTGCCCCACTTCCTCATCCTAATCCCTTTGTAGCGTCTCTCTCCTTCGAGCCCTCTCTTCTTGGCTTGTGGAGCTTCCATTATCTGCAAAAACAGAGGAAAACAGAGGTTCTGGGAAGTGTCAAAAGCGAGAAATGTTTGAATCAGAGAGAGAGGAAGAGGCGGAGGAGAGAGGGTCATGCGAGTCGGGCACTAAGGTTTGTCATGTGGGCAAGCCTCCACGTCGGTTTCTTGGAGCCCCATTGTGTTTTATACCACAAAATTGATTATTACATTTTAAAATAACCGAATTCACCGACAACTCCATCACTGTCTTCTCTCTCCTTCTCCTTCTTCTTTTTTTCGTTCATTTATTTTTAATCTCTTTTCTATTTTTCTTTTGCGCCGATAATCCACCTTTCTAGTTTCACGCACAACTCCATCTTCGTTCATAAAATTCCTGAAGCAGTGAAGTTTTATGTCAGAAATTTTTGCATTTTATTATTTATATCCTATCTAATAAAATTATATTAATATTTGAATTAAATATAAAACGTCGCTCAAATAAATTATAAGGTTAGTTGGATTGAGTAATTAAAGGCTCAGACCCAATATAAACGAAAAGAGACCAGCTCCGAAATTCAATAAAGGTCACAAAAAGTGAACATGCTACAATTCCATCAACTACTGCAAATATTAGACCGTTGATACGAAGACACAATCTTAAATAATGTCGAAAGCTACACCCAAGTAATTCAATGAAATGAGTTGGTTATCAAAATGGAGAGACTGCTCCATAAGTTTTGTGAAATCCCTGATTTTTCGCCAGAACGTGTTAAGTTTTAAGGAAAAGGCTTCGCTATTCTAACACTATAAATAGAAGGAAAAAATACAAAAGAAACTAGTCAACACTCTATCAAAGACTCGCAAATTTTACATTCATTAACCCTTTTCATTTTTTAGTTTTTAGTTTTTAGTCTGTAATTTTTTTTACACTTCAATAAAAATTATATACTTATTCTACCAAAGTCTTGTATCGTTTTTCATTCGAGTGAACTGTGGTAACGAAACTCGAGACCTTTTTCGTTATCTATTGAAACTCAGCGTCTCTGACATGCCTGATATTTATTGCTCAGCCACGAACAATTAGTTCAATTAAATACAATATCGTGTATCATTATTTTTAAAAATTTTATTTTTTGAAATATCATGTCTTTTTAATTTTTGTGTTTTATCTCTTTATAATCATCAATAATAAAATTAATTTATATTTATAAATATCTAACATAATATATTTTTATTAGATATAATATTAATAATATAATGTATACGATCCATGCAATTTTTTTAAAATTTTTATTTCATGATTCTGTGAGGATCCATCAGCTCATCATCATCATCATTCATCAATATACAATAAATTTTAAAGTTTTATACTTTATGCATAAATATACTCCCTCCATTTAAATATATAAGTCATTTTTAACTGAATTTTATTTTAATAAAGTAGTCACTTATTTTTAAACTAACTTTATCTTTTTATATTTACTCATATTAAACACCCTATAATAAATATGAAGTCATTCATCAATAAAAATACTTTTTAAAAAAAAGCAACAATTATACTTTAAAATACTAATAATGTCTTATAATTTTTAACATTAAACTCCTTAAAACGAAAGGAGTAAGATTTATATAAATTTATTATTTTTATAAATCAATAATGATATAGCTCACTTCAAATTTCACATAACCATGGGTTAGATCTAGTTTTATATAGTGACTAATGGGCAAGAAAAATGTACGCAATATAAAAAAATACACGGTCATATCTTGATCTCTTAACAAGACATCTTTTGTCCGAAGATAATTGCATAAGAAATGAATTTAATGAATTCATGAATAAAAATTCAATAAATAAAAATTATTCCCTCCATTCAATATTATTTTTTTATGATACAAGAAATAGATTCGGCCAATAGCAAAGATTATCTTTTTTAAGATATTAAGGATAAAAGGTGCATCTTTCCCATCTAAATTGCTATATTATTTGATTCTATTTATAAATCACTTTTAGTGTTTTTACCAAAACTAAGAAAAATATTAAACTTTATTAACTCTATTTAAAAATTCAATAAGTTTTTAACTTTATTTCTATTTAATATATCTATGTTAAAATAAAATATTCTAACATTTAATAAACTTTCCTGCATTTAATAGGAGCAAAATAGTAAAAATAAATATAATAATTATTGAGATTCCTTATAAATAAGATCAAAGTAAACATTCTCTTTATCTTATAAATAAAACTAGAGAGGTATATATATAAGGGTTAAGATTTAAATCTTATAACCACTTGTTTGAGTGACGGAATCCATATCACTTACCTAATTTTAATTGGTTTTTATTATTATTATAAGATACTTTTAATTAAGTTCTCAATTTGTTAATAAGGCTGTGGTACGGGAGATGAACTTAAGGAAACCAATTAAATTAGGGAGAAATGGACCTCCTTTATCTCATTTCTACTTTGATGATGATTTGATCCTTTTCAGTACTATTGATAACTCCCAGATTAGACTTACTAAGAGGATCTTAAAAGATTTTTGTATTACCTTAGGCCATAAAGGCAGCAATGGTAAAACTTACACTTTTTTCTCTAAAACTGTCTTGGCTAGTACAGCCAATTAGTGCAGTAATGAGTTAGGATTTTATAAAACATATGCTCTGGAAAAGTATTTAGGTGTCTCTCTCTCACATAAGTGAGTTTGTCTTGATACCTATGGCTACATTAAGGAAAAAAGTGAAACTAAGACTCTTTAGATGGGCTGCTAAGACCCTTTCTCTTACTGAACATATTACCCTTGTTAACTCTGTGTTATAAACCTTGCCTTTCTATGCTATACAAACCATTAAAATTCCTAAGGGCCTTTATAATTGCCTTGAGAAAATCATCAAAGATTTTGTCTAGGGTTCTATAGATAATGATAGAAAAGACTAGTTTAATAAATTGGGAGGAATCCTATCAACCTTAAACACACGGTGGTTGTAGGCTTAAAAGAAAAGATTGGAACCTCAAAATAGATCTTTCCTCATGAAAATTGGCTTCAAACTTGCTACCCAATCAAACCTTTTTTGGGTACAAGTTCCAAGAAGTAAATATGGCTGAGATGAAATGGATGGACTTGGAAGCAGAACCCAAAATGGGTCTCTCCTCTAGCAAAATATCAAGAAATTTGGCAAGATATGAATATAGGCCTCTGCTTGGAGATTAGTAGTAGATTGATAATTGGTTTGCTAATGTAGGCTCATTAAAGTTTTCGGCCACTAATATGTAACTTCATTAGATGTGATGGTACTTGAAACTGGGATTTTTGTCATAGAGATATCTTGAATCAAGTTTTATCTATTATTGTAGGTACAAAACCCCTGGTCCTTTTGATGGGGAAGCTAAGCAGATTTGGGATAAGAACCTTAATGGAGAGTTTTCAATGAAATCTGCATAAGAGCTCATCATGGAGGATGATTGGACTTCCTAGGATGCTAAATGGGATGTGATTTGAAAGCCTAAAAGCACCCAAAGATTCTTATGACCAGCCATTTTAAGGGGCTCTCATGACTGAGGCAAAATGTGTTAGAAGGCACATGGTGAATAATGACCTATAAACGAAGTGTGGTAGGTGAAGCGAGACTATTGATCATATTCTTGACATTATAGCTTGGCTTATGATGTGTGGGGATTACTCATCCCTTAAAGTAGATTGAATCATTTTCTTAAAGAGCCCTTTCAAGAAACGGATGTTACATAATCTACAAGGAAGTACTACTATTAATTAATAGTAATATGAGCTCTAATTAGGCTTCTACTTTTAGTCTTATTTGTTGGAAATTGTGGGATGTTTGAAATAAATTTATTTTTTAAAATGTTATCTTTGCAGGGGAACTAGCTAGTAGCTGAAGTACACATGCTAGTAGATTTTTCTCTCAAGGTGAGGAATGTTCTTCAAAAAGCTCAATAGAATGGATCAACTAATTATGCTCACAACATTAGCTCGAAAAAACCACCACCAAATAGGATGATACTTAATTGTGATAGTGCCGTCAAAAGCAATAGTGGCTGAGTAGCTGCTAGATGCTTAGTACGTAATATTGATGGCTCATAGATCCATAGATGTTGTCATAACATTGGAATGTGTACCCTTTCATAGGCATAATCATGGGCTATGATTGATGGTATAAGTATGATGTGGGAGTAGGGATTCAAAAATGTGAAGTTAGACATTGACTGTATGCTAGCAGTAGATCTATTAACACATGACATTTGTGAATGGTCAACAATTGCTTGATGGGGTAAATTCACTCCTTACTACATAGAGAGTGGCAAGTTGAGATTGAGCATATCTTTTGATAAGGAAATAAATGTTTAGATTTTTTGGTTTCCTTTGCCCTCTCTATGGAGAAAGGCATACGTTACTTGCTTCATCCACCGGATGACTTGAGAAAGCTTCTGCAAGAGAATGCTTTAGAATTGGCTAGATCACATTTGTACTACTAGGTCCTAGTTGGATCTCTCCCATTCTAAATCAAAAAGAAAAGATACTTTTAATTGTATTATACCTTTCAATTAGTTAATTATCTTTAAAATCATACATTCTTTTTATGTTTAATTTTATTTAATAGGACGTTTCAATAAGAAAGTATTATTAATTATGCTCCTAATTAAAGACATTTTAAAAAAATTAATTAATTACCTCTTGAAATACTCAAAATATCTTATATTTTTTTACATGATACTTTAAAAAAAATGTCTTATAATATTAAAGAAAGTAAATATAGATAGAGTTAGAAAAGAGCCATGACTTCCTACAAACTATACTCTCTATTTAATATAAACATGTTGATAAATTATAATATTTATGAATTATGAATAATGGTACATGAGGCAACCTTGCTACTTTTATATTAATTTTGTTTGCTGTCTTAAATCTTTCTCTGTCTCCATTTGCTTGAGGTCGGTCTCCATGTAAAAGTTTGAGAAAGGTCTACGTGTTTGATGTTTATTTAATTAAACATGATAATTAAATTTATATTCAACTCATACTATATATATATATATATTGCCAACTCTAACGGGTAATTTGATTGTAGGATTTTCTGGCCAAAAGAAAAATTGATTATGGGATTTTTTTTTGCAACAGTTTGATTACATGATGCAAAGAACTACGGTTTATTGCTTTAAATTTTGT